TCGATCCACATAACCTCCTCCTGCTGGCACCGCATCACCAGCTATTGAGCTTCCACCTTCTGCTGACACACCCCTTCCTCCTGCTGCCACTGTCCCTGCCCATGCTGCTGCCGCTGAATTTCCCCATACTCCGCCGCCCCATATTCCGCTTCCCCAGCCTGACCCGGGCCCTAGCCCAAGGGAAAGAATGCTCATGAAGCTTGAATTTTTCCGAATCGAATCGTTCGCACCAAGAGCAGGAGAGTCACCACCAACAGCTGCAGCCACGGAGAGTGGGCATGCGAGGGAGACTTGAGAGGCAGACGCAGAGTCAGCAGGGGGTGGGAAGGGCAAAGGGGCATCTCTCCGGCCCATGATGGCGCCTGATTTGTCGGTTGAGACGGCAGTGGGGTGGCGGAGAACGCTGGGGAGAGAGGAGAGGGAGGAGAGGTTGCGAAGATTCTCCCAGGAGGGCGCGTGGGGGAGGAAGTGGGGGCGGCGCAGAGTGGCTGGGACCGGCTGCATGTCGTGAAACTTGGTGAAGTCCTGGACGGGTGGAGGGAGATGTGGACGTTGATCGGGTAACGAGGATGTGTATGTGGGTTGAACAACATGAGAAGGGTTGGAAATAGCAAGAACCACCAATGACCTGCTCTATGTGCATGTGAGCGTGTGTGGAGAGAAGGAGAGAGCAGGAGAGAGGAGGCGAGGTGGACAGATGGAAGGAACGAGCAGAAGATTGGAGGCACAAGAATGCATCATCACAAAATCAGTGACTCACCACCCGGCGGATTCCACTTGGAGATCGCTTGACCATGGTGCTGATGGCGTGAATGAAACGAGATACGCAAATCGGGGGGGAGAAGAGAAAAGAGCAAGTAAAGAAAGGAATGGCCAATACGTTTATAAGGGCCCAAGGCCTGCAAGATACTGTGTTCTTCCAACGGGCAATGCCGCGAGTTGTGGGAAAGCGAGGTGAGTCTTGGTCCGTGTGATAGTGGGGGGCTGGGCCGGAGTGAGCAAGGCGGAGAAGGTGAGCCAATGGATGAGAAGGGGAGTGTGTGGTAGTGAGAGGGGCTGCGTGCTCTGGGCTCACCAGAAGCGGTGATTGAACTTGATGTCACGAGGCGAGTAGGAATGCCGGGCTGGGGCCAAAGGGGCACATAGGCGGGGCAGCACGAAGCACAGTAGCTGAGTAAAGAGGCAACGCTAGATAAGACATCATGAGGGATGCATGCAAGGCACAAGCTCTTCACTGTTGCAGAATCCACACGCAGTGAAGAGGGAAGCAGACAAGGTAGCTCTGGCGACGCATTTGCACTAATGCATAACACGAGGCATTGTACAGCAAGCCATAACCACCTTGCAGCTTGGCTGATGTAGGAGCATCCACACCCTCTATAAGCACGAGGAACTCAATGTCAGCCCGTTCCATCATCTACAGTCACACAGTAAAGGGGCGATAGGCATTGAACGGGTGAAAGGGAGCCACTGGAAGGTTAACGACAAAAGCAGGCATCATCTTGGAGCACTAGGGCAATGGAATGCAGAATGAGACGGGATGGGGGACTTACAGCAAGGGACATGCCATGCAGTGGGCTGTGCTTCGTGATCGCATGCGTGATGATGCAGGGGAGAGCAAGAAAGACGAAACCCCCTCCAAGGATCTGCAACGCCACAGCCCCCGGAATGGGATGGAAAGCAGATTAGCAAGACCCGTTCTGAAAGAAAAAGCATACTGTAGCATGCTAATATTCCAAGTTACAAAACTAGCTCTGGTATTAGTAGGAGTTCCTAAAGCGGGATGCCATTGCCTGAAATATGGATCTGAAACAAAACTAAATTTTGTATTATTAAGATGGGACTGACCGGAAGGTTGGAGAATTTGAAGAGCGCCTCGTTCTCCTCACTCATGATGTTATTGATTGCCACCAGCAGCTGTGCATGCGCCTGGAAAAGAAAGAGAGAGAGAAAAAAAACATTAAATTCAAGAATTAGCTGTCAGCCAGTCTTTGGTTAGTGCTTGTGAAGCCAACCACCACCTTGATCATGCTGTTGCACTTGGTGCTTACCTCTATGAGTTGGTGCTTGCGAACATTAGCAACCCGAAATGAAAGACGAGGCACTCCGTCTTCCTGCCACAGTAGAATACAAGGCAAAGTGAAACAACAGAGCAGAGTCAAGATATGGACGACAGTAAGGTCATGACAGCCTTCAATGCATTGAAACAGCGGCAACACACACTACCTCGTTGAGCACCATGTATTGGCTGAACACGAGTGATGATGCTCGACGGGACGGAAGGGCGAACCTGCAACCATGACAGAGCCGACAGACCACAATGTTGCCAGCATGTCTGAAATGCACGTCTGCATATCTAAGAAGCATACAATATCGTACGTTTTCTACACTAAACTTTGCTCCCTGCTCTACTCTTACCTTGTGTAGACTATCCCCAGCAAGGCATAGGCGACAATCAGAGCAGCAAGCGATTGGAGGGCGATGAGAAGGTTCAATGTGAAGCAGTCAGGATCAGGGATCAAGTCTCCCCCAAACCCTGCACACAAGAGGGATTCAGCGTAGCAGGATAAGGAAAGAAGCGGGAGGGGTGGATCAGGTCTGTGACGGGCAGCAAAGACAACAGTGCTAGAAATATGGGAAGCTAGGTCATACCACTTACCAATGGTCATGGCGGACTGAACACTGATTTTAGCCAAGAATGAGGGGCAAGTCAAAATTGCCGCATACGTTTTAGCGAGGTCGATGTAGCCGCGATTCCAGGGATAGATGTTGCCACATTAAGTCCAGGTAGAATCAAAGGTTACCACAGCGAGTCCAGACGATAACATGTTGTCACATGTGGAGGATGTTATCCATGCAAGCGGAGATGATATCACAAGTCAGCCACAGGTAGCAAAAAAGCTTTCAACCACAAAGCACATTCCAGAAGTTCTTGACTCACCTGAACCACAGTGCATGCCAGTAGTTCTTAACTCCTGGGATGCAGTTGTACTGTACGGACTGGTCAAATACACCCACACTCCACACATCCACACAAACCAGAAAAGACAACCATCTTGCTGCTTCAATAAAACCTGGTCATAACAAAAGATCAAGTTAACGGAAAAAGTTAAGTGGTGCCGATATACCATCTGAGAGCTGATGCCCACCTGATAGTAATACGGGAGTGCAAACCCTCCAAAAAGCAACGAGTAGACGAGCAGAAGTAACGGGTAGAAGCGGACGTTAGGGATCTGCAACGGAATTTTTCACGAAGGGGTGTCACACGTGTCAGGTGAAGCAGTACCCCAATCAGCTAGAGCACATCTGCTAGCCAGTGTGACCCAGCGCAGGAGCATGCAGCAGCGAGGACATCAGCATGCAGCAATCAGCAGGGGGGGACTGGGATGACTGCAGCATGCGGGCGTTCGTACGTTGATCAGCGTGTGGAAGAGATCGCTCCAATACGCCGTCAGCTTAGGAACTCCACGCCGTTCCACGTTCAAACTACCCCTGCACGCAAAACCGTAAGCTGCTGTTAGAGCGGGAAGGGGGGTGAGAGAAGACCGAGAGAGGAGAGCGCCAGGCTAAGCACCTGCATCGTCAGTAATGAAATAACGGAAATCGTCGACTCACGATGTATCGACCAACGGCAGTTTAGCTGGTTTCTGCTCCATGTCGCCTTGTGACCCACGTTTCCGCAAGAATGATCCATATAGTGTCCTTTGGGGGTTTGACGCCTGCTTCGTGTGCACCGGAAGCAGCGGCTCCCTGTCGTCCCAGCTGTTATCGCGCCGTAGATTGCTCCGACTGCCGCTACTGCACGCAGACTGCGGACTGTCGACTGGGCTCCTACTGCCCGAGCTGCTGCTGGGACCAGGATCGTACGAGACTGTTATCTCGCCTTCGACTCGCCGCTTTGGCATCGGAGGAGCGATGGTTCGGTAAGAAACCGTTGAGAGTTCGCCACACGGCTATTAGTCCAGGAGGAGCCTAGGAAGGGAGGAATGAGATTCTGCGATCAGGTAGCCAGACTATGCAAGGACCAACCAGTCTGATAAGTGGTGGCAGTGGTGGTGATCAGTGGATCAATTTGAGCAGCTTGGAGAGTGAGGGAAAGCTTAAGGGAAATTATCAGAAAGGGTCCTCGCTCTGCCAGGGGTGTGAGCCAAAAAGGTCCGTCTACCTCCGAGCCTGTAATACACTTGGTTATATTTTTAGTACTTAGTAAACGTTTATCAACGAAAAGGCAAAAACATAAAACCCATTTGGGACCGAATTCCGTTCGAGATGGCATCAACCCTAAACACGCAGGTCTTTTGCGAGGGTTGATGCCACCCGGAGTCGCATGTGAGGGCCCTACGGGTTTAAGTTTTTTTTAATGCCCTAAAACACTGTTCGTATATATGTCCCACCTCACAGGGTCACGATACGACGCGCCCCACAAACCTGACCTGTGTCGCAAACCAGAAATATTTACGTGTTGTACGACGAAGGCGATGTATCACAGGTTCGGAGACAAGGTCTCGGGGCAGAAAGCTGCCGGACCTTTTTTGCTCACGCCTCTGGTGGGGCGAGGACCCTTTTTGATAATTTCTCAAGCTCAAATACTCAACCTCGCTTTCCAAATTTTCTCTAGTACTGTACAGTACAAGACAGAGAATAGCCGGCCACTTATAGCGAGTCCAACGCACCTGTGCCTCTTGCGTGTGGTTGGGTTCGGAACTTGAGTGACACGGTGAACGGGGACAGCGAATGAGGGAACATGAGGAGGTGACGTGGACCCGGAGTACGTCCACGGTAGACGTGGCCAGGTGTCCCCCGCCACTCTCCCATTGGCTTAGACACCCCCTAAAGCTTTCTGCCTTGAGCTGGTGTGTGCGCCGAACCTAGCCTCCAGTGGTGGCTTCGCCGTGCGAAGCATGAGTTTGCCGAACCTAACCAGCATTGGGATTGCTTTTGAAGTGCGTCGCATGCAGCTCATGCGCAGCTCATTTGCCTAACACCTCATTTTCAAGCTTCACAGCTGCTCATTGCTCATTCACCACCTTGGCAGCTGCTTGGGTGCTCCTCCTCCTTGATTCGCAGCTCGACAGTCGCTGGTCATGGCGCTTCAGCCTGTGCACTCTCTTCGTGTGCACTCCTTGCCTGGAGTCTCGCATCCTATTTGCTCCGTCGGAGGCCACTCCTGCATCCGATCACTCACCGACGGCCTCCCGCATCCCACACACCGTGTAGCATCCTCCGCAAGCTTACGAAGTCATGGACGTGCTTCATTGAATTTCCGTCCTGGGACGTCTCTCTCCCGTGTCACATCAGCACCTACTCGCAAAAGAGCATTAACCGCAGCTGCCTCGGTGGGTCAGAACGAGCCAACTTCACAGCGCGAGGGGGGTGCGTCATTAGCGTCCTTTGCCTCTGATGGCTCCTTCCCACCACCTGATGGTCCCTCTAGGGCACCAACAGGCCATGACCGGACGGAGCCTGTGGACGTGCTGAAGAGTCGCTTAGGCCAATCCTTGTCGCTGCTGTTTGCAAATCCGTCGCATAGTATTCGCGAAGCATGCGACCAACTCGGACGGTTTGCTGCGTCCATCGCTATCACCGCGACTGTCCTGTCATCCGCCATGCCAGCATACGCTGGTGCCGTGCTGGCACCGCCACGTAAGCTTATGGCGGATGAGCTGGCGACGGTGAAGCTGTTCAACGACAACACCGCGTCCGTCGTGTACATTACGAACCTCGCCACTAGGTGAGTGGCTGCATTCGCAAGCTCAACAGCAGCTCTTCAATTCCCCGCAGCGAGGATGAGGGGTGTCCGGAGAACCCACTCCGGAACGTAGGAAATGTACAGGCTGAGACAAAGACCCACTCCGGACCGTAGGAACGTAGGTGACGCATGGCACCTTGAAACCAACCCACTGAACGGTGTGTTTGTGTGCATATTCTTATAAGCGGGCCTATATGGATGTATTATTGTGTCCCATGTGTGCCCACATGTGCCTGCATCACGTGCGTGCTTGCATGTGTTGATCTGCTTTTGAGCATCTGTCTGTGCATGTGAGCATGTGTGTGTGGCCGTGCATGTGAGCATGTGTGTGTGGCCGATGCGAGCATGTGTGTGTGGCCGTGCATGTGAGCATGTGTTTGTGGCCGTGCATGTGAGCATGTGTGTGTGGCCGTGCATGTGAGCATGTGTGTGTGGCCGTGCATGTGATCATGCATGTGCATGGGACTGCGTGTGCAGGAAGGACGCGTTCACTCTGGATGTGATGCAGGTGCCGCAGGGGACAGGGTCGGGCTTCATATGGGACACGGAGGGCCACGTGGTCACCAACTTCCACGTCATCAGGCGCGCCTCCGACCTCAGGTATGATCCAGGGAGGAGCGTCTCACACGCACATGCATATTGATTGGCAGTTGTCGCACATCACCGCCTGGACATGGCAGCGCATAACGACAGACATTCAAATGCACCGCACAGCGATTCGACACAGCTCTATCGTTTTCACTCCTCCCATCCTCTCCTCTCTCCTCTTCCCCACCCTCCCCCCACACCTCCCATCCCATCTTCCCCCAACCGCCCTCACCACGTCCTCCCTTTCTTTAGAGTGACCCTATCAGACCAGTCGGTGTACGCGGCGACGGTGGTGGGAGCGGACCCAAACAAGGATGTGGCGGTGCTGCACATCGATGCCCCCGCCAACAAGCTGAGACCGCTGCCCGTGGGGTGCTCCTCCGACCTGCTCGTCGGCCAGAAGGTCTTCGCCATCGGCAACCCTGTGAGTGCCGCGGCTGGCACCCCTGTTCCGTGACTCCCTCCCCACTACTGCTTCATCCCCCATCCCTCCTTTCCATGCGCTTTGCTCATCCAGCTCCGTCTGCATGTCCTGTGTTAGCGGTGTTGCGTCCTCTCCATCCATCTGCGTTCACCACTTTTCAACGTTTCCTCTCGTTCCCTCCCTATTCCCCTCTCTCTGTAACTTTCTGCTGTCATGGCGCTTCAGTTCGGACTGGATCACACACTCACAACCGGAGTCATCAGGTACACCCTCCATCTCCCTCCTCTTCTTCCAACCATCCCCACTGTCTCATCCCTTTGCATGTTCTGTCTCGTGCTACTTACTCGTCCCGTGTGATTGCATGCATAAGCTCCCATTCTCCTCCGCGCTCCCCCCTTTTTCCAGTGGATTGCAGCGTGAGATAACATCGGTGACGCGGCGGCCCATTCAGGACGTGATTCAGACGGACGCGGCCATCAACCCGGGCAACAGCGGGGGGCCTCTCCTTGACTCCAGCGGCACGCTCATCGGCATCAACACCGCCATCTACTCGCCCTCGGGCGCATCCTCGGGCGTCGGATTCGCCATCCCTGTCGACACAGTGTGTGCTTTGCTGCCTCTGCAGAGGATTTGCTTCATGCCACACCTGTCTCATTCCCGTTCTCACATGCTTGGGTAAAAAACCCATTCTGTTCCACAGCTTACAGCACACGTCAAGCGGACTCGTGACACATGCATCATATCTCAATTCACATGTGTGTGTGTGTGTGTGTGGCAGGTGAGTGGCATCGTGGATCAGATCATCTCGTACGGCCAGGTCACTCGGCCCGCACTCAACCTGGCGTTTGCACCGGAGCAGCTGGTGGAGCAGCTCGGCATCTCGGGCGTGCTCGTGCTCGAAGTCAACCCCAGTGGCGCCGCCGCCAAGGCCGTGAGTCCATCTATCAATGCCGCCCCTTCCTGTACTTTCTTACACCCAGTTTGGCTATTCTTATGCTGCAAAAGCAACCTTTTCTTATGCCCAACAACACACTGGACTGCCCCATCTCATGTGGCCACTGCACCCCTTCCAATGGCCTCCTCTCCTGCCCCCTTCCCCCAGGGTCTGCGCCCCACGTCGCGCGACAGCTTTGGGCGGCTGCTGCTGGGCGACATCATCACAGCCATTGACGGCAAGCCCGTCCAGTCGGGGTCCGACCTCTACAAGATCCTCGACAAGTGCAAAGTGGGCCAGACGGTGAGTGCACGCACATGGCTGGATTGGTGCTCGTATTCTGAGCATACATGCATGGGTGATGGTGGGGATGTGAGTGTAACACACATGCTGTGGTGCCAGTGCTTGTTGCTTCTTCACGTCATTTCTGGCGCCCTAATCGCTGCTGTGAGGCGCTGTGCTGAGCAGGTTGACGTGCGTGTGCTGAGAGGGGACGACGAGGTCAGTGTGCCCGTCACATTGGACGGGCTCAGTGGGTGATGTGCAGCTGGGTGACCTGCTCACTTGAACGGACCCGTGGGGCCCTGATAGAACAAGGATGGATGTCGGGAGTTGTGGCACAAGAGTGAATATATTATTTATTGCATTGCACCTTGCAGACTCAAGCTTCTTAGTGGAAGCAGGAGCAGGACAGAGCAAGACAACAGCATCAAAAGAACTCTATGCGTGAATGAGAGCAGCATCCTTTGCCACCATGGTTCTGGCGTGGGGTGTGCTGAGAAACGCCTCCACTATGTCTGAGAACTCTTCCTCCACGAACCTGCCTCTCCCGCCTGCCATCGTCTTGCTCCGTGACGCCCTCTCCTCCCGCGCTGCCCTCTCCCCCCACTCCTCTAACCGTGCCTTCCTCTGCCTGTGCCTACGATGCGGAGTTTCCACATTGGGCATCCCTACCTCTGCCGTCCGGTTTTTGCTACCTGCCCCATTTGGCCCTACCCCTCGTGCGCCCACGAGCGCCTCTGCAATCCGCTCCTGTCGGGCCTGTGCTGCCCGTGCCAGCGTCGCCACATTCACCGTCTGCATCCGCAGCACCCCCACCTCTGCCTCTGAACCATCCCCTCCGTGTGCCCGCCTGCCTCCCGCCTCCTCCCCCCCTCCCCCCTCGTGCCGTGCGGCGGCCTTCACACGCGGCAGTCGCCCCCACACGGGGCGGTAGAGGCTCTCAGACCTCGAGCTCCAAGCGCCACTGCCATCGCACTCCCCCTCCTCCGCTTCCTCCCCCTCCTCCAGAGCCCGCTGGGAGATGGCAGCAGGGCGCCCGCTGCCTCTCAGCCGCGCACTCCGCTTCACTCCTGCCCCTGCCGGGCTGTCTTGGTTGCTCCGGTTGCTCGGTGTGCCGGGGTCAGCAGTGGGAGAGGAAGAATGCACATCAGTGCTTGTGGCTGGATGGCTCAGCGTGGCAATGCTGGCAGCAAGGGGGAGCGGTGCAGCAGCATCAGCAAGCAGGTCTGATGCCAAGGAGCCTGCCGTGCTTGCGGTGTGGTGCAGGGGGGTGGGGCTGCTGAGGAAGCTTGAGACAGAGTCCGGCAGCACAGCCCACGAGAGAGGTGCACCCAGAGCGAAGTGGGACGCACTCCTGGGAGTACTGGGGCTGGCAAACGGCTCCTGTGACACCTGCTGCGCACCCCCTGGCCCTGCCTCTGCGCCGCCCACGCCACGTGCCCGCCATTGTGCACTATCGCTGCCTGTCCCGCACTCGCTCACCACATCTCTCCCGGTCGCGCCTCTCCCCCCCAGCCGCTCTGCCACGTCCGCCACCACCAGTCGTGCCAGCGCCTTGGTGGCTGACCGTGTCACGTGCTTCACCCCCTCCTGCCTCCCCCACGCCACGCCTTCCTCGCCCGCCTCCGCCGCCTCTGCCGTCTCTGCCGCCTCTGTTCCTGCGCCCGTCCCCGCCCCGCCCTCTGCTGCGCCCGCGCTCGCCGGCGCTGAATCCGCGCAGATTTCCCCGACGACCCCCCCATCCCCGTGTTGCCCTCCACTTTCCGCCTCCGCGTGCCCCGCAGCGAGTGCTGCCGTTGGGAGGGGCGATGGCTGTGCCCGTGGTGACTCAGACGGTTGTGACTCTAACGGAAGGTAGCTGCGAGCGCGCCGAGCGGCGTCATACAGGGAAAAGCAGCCGCTTGCAAAGCCACGTGCTGACCTCCCATGGGGCGGTGACGGTTCGCCGTGGGATGGCGAAGCCTGTGGGGAAGATTCGCGCGCGTCAGCTGCTCCTGGCGCCTGTGGCGGCGGGAGTCGCGGAAGGGCTTGGGCAGGTGTAGCCGCTCCCATGGCGGAAAGAATCGGCGCGCGGGACGTGGAGCACTCAGTGGGGGGGAGACAGAATGGCGCAATGTGGGGGACGGACGGATTGCGGGAGGCAGCGGGACGCGGAGCGCATGCAGCGAAGGTCTTAGGCGAGGGGGATGGGACACATGCAGTATGATAAGAGAAAGCAGCACGAGATGGCGATGATGTAGAAAGGGTAAGAATACGCGCCTCATGGGGCCTCACGCCAGGGCGACTCGTGGAGGGCAATGCGGCGCTGAATGCTGCCGTGCGCCGCGCGCTACGAGGGAGACAGACGAGGGCCCAGTCCCGTCCCAGGCAGCCAGCTACGGCCGTCCACGCGCGGCAGCCTCAGCCGACCCTCCCGAATCCGCTGATTTGGAACTCGTTGAAGCGTCTGCAGATGCAGAGGCTGCGAATTCTGCGGATGTTGGCGAACTCGAACGAGCTCTGCGGACAGGGAGGTCGCGTGACGTCAGGCGTTGGGGAAATCTCGGATTATCGGCCGTGCCGAGGGCCGGCAGTGGGCCAGTTGCGAGGGGCGGGGAACGCGGCAGAAAAGGCAACGAGAAGGCCATGGCAGGAACGGTGGATGCACGTTGAGACGGGTGGGCAGACATGCCAGATAATGCGGAGCGCAACTCGAGATCGATTTGCCTTGAGACAGTCAGGGCAAGTTGAGCTGCTTGGCTTGGACTCCATGAAACGAGCTGGAATGAAGTACACGTCATGCGCGGCCATGGGGGGATCGACGCACTCACACGTGCTGGTGACGCACGAGAAAATGAGAGCAGCTGAAACCGTTTATCCCCGATTGGAACTCGCTTTGAATGAAGCTCCACCTCAACTTGTGCTAAATGCAGTCAAAAATCATACACAGTATGATAGAGGTAGTGACACAGAACCGACTCCGCATAAGAGAAGCCTGATGCATATGAAGGTGAATGCTAAACCTGCTCGTCCAAATGGCCCCACACTGCAGCAGCAATCTCCTCCAAACTCTTTGCGTCTGCGAGCTCCTTCCTATAACGGAACACACGGCTGAGAGCATCGTTCTGATGAAGCAAGGTGTAACACCTGAAAGAGGGAAGGTGGGAAGGATAGGGAATGATTAGAGCGCAAAAATGTATGTATGTATGTTAGAGCCATAGCTACAAATGAAGGGCATCAATCCACTCACATGGCACGGTACGACTGGGTGAAATGTGCTCCTCCATGTGCGGGCAGTGGTGGCTTGTAGCTGGCGAGCAGTCTGGTGAGGTCGGCTTTGTTGCAGCGCTGCGCGCTGACATGCAGCATGATGAGGTCGTACAGGGGGTCGCCTGGTGCCGCGGGGGATGGGTGTAGGTCAGGGTTGTTTTTTTAGAGCATGTGGGGTAAGGGTGAGCTTTGCGCAATACCAGCAAGCAAGCGACCGGAGGGTTAGATTGAGACCATTCATGATGGCATGCAAGAAACGAGAGGGCTTACCAAGAATGAGCGTGCCAAAGTCAATGATTGAAGATGGCTCAAGCAGCCGCTCCCCATTCACCGCCACCTTCTCCTCTCCACCCTCCCCTCTACCACGATTCTTCTGACCCGCCTCCCCTTCTGAGCCCTTGTTTCCCTCCGTGCCCTCCGTGCCCTCCATGCCCTCCGTGCCCTCCGTGCCCTCCCTGCCCTCCTTGCCTTCCTTGCCTTCCCTGGCCGCCTTGCCGCGGGCCACAAACGCCTCGATGGCGGGTGTGGCAGCAGGGGATGCGGAAGCGAGCAGCACGTTGTCGCTCATGATGTCCGTGTGCAGCCATGAGGGGCGCGGCTGGGACGGCACACGGGGAGCAAGGGGTATGTGGACGAAGTTGAGGAGTGGGGAGGGGAAGGGAAGGTGGAGCAGAGAGGGAAGGATGGGATGGGTAAGTCATCAAGGTGTGCTGACGCAGTTGGTGCAAGAGGGAGTGAAAAACGCAAGGAAAAGCGGCAGAGGCAGCAGCGGGGAGAAAAGTTGCAGCAGAAGAGAGGAGGGGGAGGCAGTGGCGCAGGAAGGAGGGAACTGACAATGCCTTGGAAGAGCAGGGCGGGGTCCTTGGGCAGATAAGCGCCCGCCTGCTTGATGAGGTGCGGGGGGAGACTGCCCCTGGTGGGGTGAAGGGGGCCAGGGGGGAGGGAGATGGCTGACAGGCATGAGGGGAGATGTTATCAATCCATGTCGCCATCGCCCCTGCAGGAAGGAATATGAGACACGCCGGTCCTGATCTATCACACACGCTGCTGCGACTCACATGTCCTCGAGCCTCTCCCTGATGAACTTCCTGTGCTCCCGCACCAGCTCTGCAAACGGCCGCCACTCCTCTCCCACCACCACCTCTTCCTCCTCCTCCGCCCCCCCGTTTTCCCCACCATTCACATTGGCCCCATTTTCTCCACCCCCCTTCACTGCCCCATGCTCCTGCGTCGACTCGTCTCCTGCTCCCGTCTTCCCTGCCTGCTTCTCGCTGCCCAGGGCCTTCGCCTTGCTGCTAGGAGCGGCGGAGAGCGGCGTGGCGGGGAGCGGCAGCGAGTGCAGGTGCGAGAGGGACGTGGCAAAGAAGTCCGCTAGGGCCTGCCGGTCCGCAGGCGTGGCGAGATCCGCGCTGCAGTGGGCGGGGGGGAAAGGGGGGTGGAAGGGAGAGAGGGGATGTGAGGAATGAATGAGATCCGAGAGGCGAAGGAGAGAGGGAAGGACCCGAGTGGCACAGCAGGGAGGTAAGGGATGGGCAGCACAGCAGACCCAAACCAGCAGCATAGACTCACACGGCGTCCAGCTGCCAGCCAGGGCAGCGCCCGGTGATGATGTACGGCCACACGCCCTCCTCCGCCTCCTCCTCATCCTCATCCTCCTCCTCACCTTCTTCGTGTTCCTCTGCTTCTCCCTCATCCCCCTTGCCCCCCCCACCCCTCCATCCTTCCCCTTCTTCCCTCTGGCCTGCTCCCGCCTCTTCCTCCTCTCCTCTGCTTTCTTCTTCGCTCGCCGTCTGTACGCCGGAGTCCGAACGTCCTTCCCCCCCTCCTTCCCCTTGCCGCTCTTCCCTTTCTTCCCCCCTCTCCCTCGAGCCACCGTCCCCTGCACCTCATCGAAGGGGTTAGAGGGGCGGTTTTCTTTCACGCCGTCCCACTCGGCTGCCAGCAGCTGCTCCTCCTGTGGCGCCACTGACACCGCAAACGGGTACCCCTCCTGCTCCCCTTCCGCCCCATCAGCCCCTGCATCCGAACTCCGCCCATTGCTCCCCACCCCATTCGCCTGCTTTTCCCCGCGCCCACCCCCCTTCCCCTGCGCCCCCTCGCCCCCCTCCGCCCCCCCTGACGAGAAGAGCAGCCCCGAGGCCACGAGGGGCGGCACGGAGGCCA